GTCCTGTTGCCTTCCCAGGGTGAAGGACATCAATGACCATTTGCTTCCGCTGAAGTAGTCTGTTGGTCATGAACTTCCTGGTCTGGATAGTTACTGTGTCATTCATGATGAAGGTTGATCTTCAAGCAGCCAGGGAGGAAAAAAGGGGGTTCCCAACTTTATAAAGTGATGCCATGCAGCTCAAAATATTTCATCTATAAGAATGTCACGTCAATGTGTAATGCAATCAAATACTCACCGCTATTAACTGAGGGTCAGTTACGTGTTAGGTGCTCAGCTACTCTGGGGGCACGGAGCACACAGAGTCCCTGTCTTGTTCAAGGCTGGGGGCTCCCTCCAGCCCGGATCCTCATCTCTGTCTGGGCCTCTGAACTGTCACAGTTGAGTCACCCCAGGATCGAAGGAAAACTTTGAGAGAATAAGGCAGAGTTTGTCGCCTTGGTGCACTTTGCCAAACGTGTGTGTTTAAGAGTGATTTGGATCCAGCCAACCCTTCACCTTCTTGGAATAAATATCTGGGCCGCCAGGTCAGTCGGTAACAGACGCCCCTGCTGGTGGGCCAGGCGCATGCCTGCCCGGGACTGCGCCTCTGCACGGGTCGGGGTTGTGAGCACCTTGTTAAACTGCCTTGAAAACGTAACTTCTTGGTCCTCAGAGCAGAAGCTGAGCCGCGCTGGTTGACCTGTGCCTACTTGCGTTGGTGTGAGTCATGAGAAGTGAGGAGCCATGTATCCCGAGGAAGGAGAGGAATCTGAGTCAACATGAATCCCTCCCAGTGGCCCAGCGTAGTGCCTTAGGCAGCCTGTTGCTCAATGCATAGTTGTTGACCCAATATCCAATTAACCAGAGATCGGTATCTGCAAAGAAAGTGTGTCTTTTCCACTCGTCAGAGGCCCCCGTGTGTGTGTGTGTGTGTGTGTGTGTGTGTGTGTGTGTGAGAGAGAGAGAGAGAGAGAGAGAGAGAGAGAGAGAGAGAGAGAGGAGAGAGGGAGAGACAGAGACACTGCCTGATGTTTGGAACCTTTGCCCGTAAGGAACTGTGTCATGGAATGAGGAATGGGTTGTGTTTATACAACACCCCTATTTTCCGGGTCTGACATCCAGGCCTGACGGCAGTAAGCCACCTGAGCACCTGCCTCTTTCTTCTTCTCCAGGCTCCTCCGCTGGCCCTGCTGGTGGTTTTCGCTGCTCACATCTGGCAAGTGCCGCTGGCCCCGGTGCCAGAGAAGATCCTCTGTGACCAGCTGCAGCCTGGAGCAATCTCGGTAGGAAAGCCACAGGCACGTAGTAACGAAGTGTGCACATCTGGGGACGCGTGTCTGGGGTGACCGCAGAACGAGAGGAAAGGCCCCGCCAGGGGAAAGGGAGTCCAGTTAATGACCAGGACGAAGCAGGAATGAGGACAAAAACAAGAGCACCTGGGAGAAACAGGGGGGCTTGGGTCCAGTTACAACTAGGGTGGGGCAGGATTCTGAGCTGCACGAAGCCCCGAGTGAGAGGCTCTGGTCCACCTGCTGTTGGGAGCACCTGGCCAGTGGTCAGAGAAGCTGAGATCCCCAGAGCTGATGGCAGGAGGAGACAGAGTGACAAATGGGAGGACATGGAAACTCGAGGCAGTGCCGAGGGTGGCTTTCCCGGTGCCTGTCAGAGACGGGTTCGCAGAGGGACCTGTGGGAAGCGGCTGGGCTGCACCCTGGGATGAGGGAGTGGGGAGTGGGTGGAGCACGGAGCACCTGGGGGCTCTGTGGTGGCTTTCCTGCCCCAGGGCAGGGCAGGGCAGGGCAGGGCAGACACCGTGAGATATGCAAATTCTGAGGCTCCGGAAGGCGGAGTTGCTGGGCAGCCGGCCTGCTGAGCACTGGGAGGCGCACTCGGTGGGTTTGGACACCCTCGGTCTGAGCCTGAGCGGGGCTCCTGGCGCGCTGTTTCCTTAGCAGACCTCATGTTTACGCTTCGGGGAGAGCAGATCAGACCATTGTGGGGTTTGTTTCTGTCAGGCGGGGGATTTACCGCCTGAGCTGCTTCCCAGCGCGGCCTTGCTGGCCAAGCCAGGCGTGATTGCTTCCTCCACTCTCCAGGGGCCTGTTTACACTGACTTCACTTTTACTGCCAGCTCTCAAGTGGGAAGAGGGAGGTTTTAGTGAAAGGTCAGCAGGTGAGCAGAGGGTCCCTGTCCTGCCATTGGTGGGTGTGCGTACATGTGCCTGTGTGTGGGCCTGTGTGCGTGTGTGTGCATGTGCCTGTGTGTGTGCCTGTGCATGTGCCTGTATGCGCGTGTGTGCCTGTGTGTGCGTGTGCGTGTGTGCGCCTGTGTGTGTGTGCACTTTTCTATATGCAAATCGTGCCCTGATCTGGTTGACAAGACCTAATCGCTTGTTTGTGGGCACAATTATGGGTGCCAGGCTGGTTGTTGGGCAGTTTCCTGTTTTGTTTATTGTAAAGAAGGAAAATAATCCGGGTTTTCTGGGTGGAGGGCACGAGATATTTACTGTCAACAGGAGAAGGACGAGGGGATATAAGATACTGAGCCCCGGGGGGCACCTGTTGTAGGACAGGAGTGTGAGGGGTGGAGACGCCAGCTGAGGGCATTCTGCCCCGTATTGGATGGGAAGGACAACTTGGAACACTGCACTTCGGCCAAAGCACAGCGCTAAGTGGAATAAAATTAGGTTGGGCTCCAATTCTATTTCATCAACTCTCCTTTTTAAATGATTTTTTAAATCCTCCCAAAGATAACAGATGGATGCTCCCTGTTTGGAAATAGGAGCTTAAGTGAAGAATCGAGAAGGCCAGTCTCTGGTCCACGCGCACGTCCCCAGAGAATCTAGCAGAGGGGCTGACGCTGTTGGGAGGAGCCGCTCACAGCGCTGTCCTCCCCTCAAGCAACAGGATGGAGCCTCCACTCGGGACTCAGCAGGGAGCCATGCAACCCCTGGTCGCGGACAACTTTGAAGCCTGCCTGCTGGATAAGGTGAGGACGGGTAGCCGTCTCTCCCACACACCCCTCCTCACCCCTCCTCACCTTCTACCCCCTTCCTCACCCCTCCTCACCCTGCAGGGGGCTGTCTGCCACTCCCGCCCCACCAGAACTTTCCTGAGGTCTCAGGCCCCAGCTTCCCCCCACGCCCCACCAGGGGAGAAAGCCTCTCTGCTCCCCACTTTTCTGCCCCACAGACACCCATCAAACTCAGCTGAGTCCACTCTCTCAACACAATGTCCCGAGCACCGCAGCACAAACCGTGTTTGCCTTCCTGTGGACTCCTCTCGTATTATTAGTGAACACATTTATCTGACAATCAATTGTACATGGACTCCTGAAGCTGTTCTTGTTATTATCTTGGGGTGGTAATGTCAATGTTATATTGTTTTATTGTTGCTCAGTTTCTGGGGCGAAGAAGAGAGTCTTGGATATTTTTATTCCCCCTGAAATTCACATGGTATCTTTGCACATACGTGGCCAGAATTATGTTCAGGGCTCATTGAAGACAATGCAGGAATAGTGTGAAAGGTGCTGGCAGGTTGAGGCCCGTACAGTGTCTCACTTAATCTAACCAACAGCTATGGGGTGCATGCCCATCGCCCCCGTGTTTACAGAGGAGGGAACGGAGGCTCATGTGGGTTAAGTAACTGGTCCGAAGTCACACAGCTGGGCAGAGGATGCTGAGGTTTCAGTCTACTCTTTTTCTACCCCGAAGCCGCATTTCTTCTGCTAAACCCCTCTGTACGCATCTCCATAAACACAGTGGGCACTGCTTTGTGCAGAATACTGTGCCCAAAACACAGGTCTGGGATGGGTCTGCTACGAGAGAGAGACTCTGTGCTCCGGGTCGAGCCCACAACCTGGGCATGTGCCCTCACGAGGAATCAAACCATGACCTCCTGGTTCCTGGGTCGACGCTCAACCACTGAGCCACACCGGCCGGCATTTAGAAACAAACAAACCGGTTCTTGGAATTAAATGCAATTCCAGAATTAAAAGTCTGACTTCCTGTTGTCGGGAAGGAAGGTCTCAGCGTTTTCCCCAGCGGCACTGATCATGGGTGACATCTGCACGGGCCACATGCTCGGGGGTGTGACCACGCCTGTGTGACATTTTGTTCCTGGCACACTATTTAGTGCCATCTCCGTGCCTCTCTCTCAAGGAAGCATTTGCAATGTAAGTGGGTCAGAATGTTATAGGGAACAATCTTGACGTCCAAATAATTTATATTTGAAACAGTAAAAGTTGTCCACAAACTTGAGCTATTAATAGTAGCAAGTGATGTGTGGGACAGCAATGGGCCTGACACTGATTCGGGGGAGAGGGACGTAGCCCAGGATGGGGACACGTACATAGAGCTGCCTGGAGAGAGGGAGGCCAACCATGGATGGCGCCCTTAAGGGATGGATGGGTGCTCTCATGGCTGCTTGTGCATAAACTGTGCTTAGTGAGAGTGACTGAATCTGCATGCTGACAAGTGTAGCCTAACTTCCCCACGGCCAGGGCACTGGGAGGGCTGGCTTAGCCTCAGTGCTCACAACACTGAGAACTTTACTGTGAGATGCGGTTCCCAACCACTCTGACCACAATTCTATCGTCAGCTCTTGTGTTACTTTCCCCTGCTGTTCCTGGTCAGACTTCTGGTCATCGGATGTCCCCTCACCTACTAACCCGGCTTTGTCCATTCTCTGACCAGAGTGCGAACCATGGCCCGCCGCTGAAACCCTCCCGTGCTCTCTCAGCCACCTGCACATCTTGCCCAGCAAACCCCAGGCTTCGCCCCTCAACTGTTACCTTTGTGCTGAGAGCATCTTACAGTGGGGCCCACTGGTATCCCACAGCCCCGTGGGCCCACCCACGGACTCATGAGCCCACCCACAGACTCATAGGCCCACCGACCACTGTCCTGGTCACTGCCTGGAAATCTCACACATGTGCCCAGGCAGCCCCTCATTCCTTAGAGAAGCTATTCCCAAAGTCTGTCACCCGCAGTCCCTCCCTCCCACCTCCTTCCTCCCTCTCAGCCCATTGCCTGGACTCCTGCTCATAAAGAAAACAGTCATCAGACAGGAAGTCTCGGATTCCCGCATTCCCTGCCCTTTCCTCTGTGTTTGCACCCACTTTTCCTTCCTCCTGGCACCGGCGGATTCCTCACCAGGTTTCTGCATTTGCCCAGCTCTTCCTGGCTGGGAAACCCTTACTCAGTGGCTCTGCCCTCCGTCCCCACCCCCCACCCCTGCTCCTCCACTGGCTCTTCTCCCTCAGCATTTAAACGTGCTTGAACCTGCGTGTCATTTTGAAAATACCTGTCGGTGTCCTTGTTTGTTTTTCCTTCCCTAGCCAACTTCCTAGAGGAGTTGCTTACCTCTGTCTTCACTTGCTTGTCTCCCATTCCCTCTTTTTTTTAAAAAAAAAATTATTGATCTCAGAGACTAAGGGAGAGGGAGAGAGAGATGGAAACATCAATATGAGAGAAAATCATCGATCAGCTCACCCCCTACTGGGAAGAGAGCCCTCAACCTGGGCCCGTGCTCTTGACTGGGAATCGAACCGTGACCTCCTGGTTCATGGGTCGACACTCAACCACGGAGCCATGCCTCTATTTCAGAAAAAACTTACAGACTTCCCATCCAAAAATGATTTGGATTTTTCTGTCTCTCCTGGAGTTGACTAAAAATTCCATTGTGTTTCCTACAAACATCTATTTCCCTAAACCTTACATATCTCTAAAGGCATGTATTTTTGGTGTTCAGTTTTCTGGGGGGTATTTCCCAATTTTTGGAGACTTGCTGTGCAGAGTCAGCAGGTCCAGGAGGGGGGAGTTCCGAGGAGAAGGGAGCCGTGGTTTATGGACATGGCGGGAAGCAGTCGCTGGACGTTAAACTGTTGAATCTCCACACGTGCTAAACCGTTTCATAGTCACCAACCTGGGCAGCAGGCGCCATCGCCCCCTTACATCATCGTCTCCCCACAGTTCACAACCCCTGCGTGACGGTCTGGCCCTGCCATTTCCCAGCCTCCAGCCCCAGGGGCACCCTTGCTGGCCCCCCGGCTTTGCCAGGCGTGCTCTTGCTTTGGGGGCCAGGAATGTGCTTTCCCCAGCTGTCAGCAGGGCCCACTCAAACGTCACCTCCTTAGAGATGACTTCCCTGGCCACCTGATTCCAAAATAGTAGCCTTTTTATTCTCTAATCCCTCATCCCATGTGACTTTTCTTCATGGGACTTACCCTACCTGATATCACATTGTACACACACACACACACACACACACACATACACCAAGTGTGTATACACACATACGGGGGGGGTGGCATGAGTAGGTTTACAGTTGTGAGCATGTGAAACAGAGTTTATCTTTGTATTATCATTTATTAATTATTATATTATTTTTCCATATGAACAACTGTACACCTACTTTTGCCCCACCCTGTATGTATATGTACACGTGTGTATATGTGTGTACATATATACCTAGGTCCTGTATTTTCAACTGGAGGGCAAGTATCCCTGTCTTGTTCCCTGTGCGCCAGCATGTGGAAATGGGCACCGACCACACGGCAGGGGACGTCTGTGACCTCCCAAGTCTGTGAACTCACACTTGAACGCATGCTTCTATTTTATTTTTTTAAGATTTTTTAAAAAATTGATTTCAGAGAGGAAGGAAGAGGGAGAGAGAGAGCAACATCAATGATGAGAGAGAACCATTAATCAGCTGCCTCCTGCAAACCCCGCCCTGGGGATGGAGCCTGCAACCCGGGCATGCGCCCAGATCAGGAATCAAACTGTGACCTCCTGGTTCATAGGTTGACGCTCAACCATTGAGCCACGCCAGCCGGACAAATGAGTGCTTCTATTTTAGAAGTGAACTCTCAGGCACTGACAGGCACCATCAGACCTGAAGCCCCTCTCCTGGAGCCCTGCTCCTGTGGTCACCCCACTGTGTCCTGTCCCGTCACTTCCTTATGCCAGTGCCCGGGGCAGCCCCGGAAATAACCCCTGTGCTGCTTCCCGCCCCCCAGGTGGACCAGAGGCGCCGGTGGGTGTCCCAGATGGTGGATGAGGTGCAGAAGGTCGTCTACCACCTGACCACAGAAATCAGCAACCAGGACATCCGCTTCCAAGCCATCCCGTACTCCCTGATGTACAACGGGAACATCACGGTGAGCGGCCTCCCTCGCCTCTGGGCGCCCACCCGGGGCTCCCGGGAACTGCACGTGACACGCGCTGACACCACTGAGAATACTGGCAGTACTGCCTGTTTCCTCGGGGACTGGGTTTTTACCACTTACACACTCATGTGAGCGCCCACATTCCAACTTCCAGCTGATGGAGACTGAGACGGGGAAGTCACAGGGTGAGGTCAGTCCTATGGGGCGCGGAAGCCAGAAGGCACCCTGGGGCCCTGAGCCAGGCCTGTGCCACTCTCACAGTAACCATAGATTGGGGGCTGGGCAGAGGGAATTGTCGAGAAAATGGCTGAAAGTATTCTGTGGGTTGCAGGTGGGGAGGGAAGGCAGTGGGAGAGGTGGCCTTTAGAAACTGGGGTTCCAAGCCGCCTCGGAACCCCTGTCCCTGCCGAGGAGCCCCCAGAGCTGTAAGCCGCCAGGGTACCAGCCCGCGCACGTTCATGCACCACTGTGGAGTGGGCGGAGCCGTCCTCACAGAACGACCTCACCTGCAGACAATCTCGCTGGGCAGACACGAGGGTTCTCTCCCTTTCAGGGACAGGCGAAGCGAGGCTCTGGATTATTCTGGATCCCCTTGCCCCTTGATCTCGATTTTTCTTACGGCACACAAGAACCCCTTTCATTTGTGTTAAAGATATCTGTATTCACACCCCTCTCTCCCACCAGACTAGGTCCCTCGTTTGTAGGGATCATGTGTGTCGATGGCTCCGTTCCCAGCCCCCAGCAGGGTGCAGCCTGCGGTAGACACTCAACTTCTGTTGAATGAATGAATGAGCAAAAGCATTAGTATGTGAGCACATGATGTACTGGTGCGTACGCTTCAAGGTCGGTGGGCGTAGGGACCACCCATAAGATTCTGGGACTTGTTGCATTTTGAAACAGTAAGATCCTGGGAAATTCACCCCAGTATGCAAATGATAAAACTAGATTAGGTCCTGGAATGTCAGCACATCTCCGCCCCCCTCTCCCACCCACTTCCACTGCCTCCTAAATTAGACAAAAGTAGACCCGTGACTAGGAATAGAAGCACAACATTACTTTTCCTAGAACTACATCCTGGGAAATGTCTTTCTGGGAGAAAACTCCTCCCCGTAAACATGAGGTGCCCTGCAAAGCCCAGGTTTCCTTCATGCCTCTTCCTTGCGGACTCACGAAGCCAAGGGCTCGGTGACTTCATGTGCTACTCGAGGCATCACAGGGGTCAGTGGCAGGATAGGATGGGCCCTCTCGCAATAGGCAGGTGCAGTTCCCGTCCACCTCATCACATTGCTGAGGGCTGAGTGGTTAACGGAGCTGCCTGGCTCAGCAGGTGGCTCCAGGGCACGCCTGTGACCTCCCAAGCCTGTGAACTCACACTCGCTCTCTCTCCTCTCGGACCCCAGGTGTTGTCCCCCAGCCAGTTCCTCGTCACAGTCCCAGTGAGAGGCCTGTCTGGGTACCGGGAGGCCAGGGAGCAGCGCTGGCGGTACTACACACTGCAGGGCGCCAGGCTCACCTGCCCCCAGCGGAGCCCCGAGGGCCTGCAGCAGTGGCTGGAGGTGCAGCAGTTCATGAAGAACCTGTGGCAGTGGCACAAGGCAGACGTGAGCATCGAGGGGGACATTGTGCCCGCCAAGGTGCTCCAGGTGTTCCGGAAACTGGTGGAAAACGCCATCGAAACCTGTCACCTGTCAGGTGAGAGGACCGAGAAAAGTGGGGTCTACTTTTTAGAGGGTAACTTGTGATCTGCTTACTTGGCAATTCAGTAATTCCAGTTCTAGAGAGATTCCTACAGATACACGAAGACATATGTACGAGGATCCCCACGGTCATAGGCTGTGTGGTCGTGGGGAGCTAGAAAGGGTCCGAAAAAGGAACACTGACCGAGTAAATCCTGCTGCCTCACCTCGGGGACTCCATGCAGCCTTCAGAAAGGGGAGGTGCCTGTGCTCACACACAGGGGTGAGAACAAGTAAGTGGAGAACCAGAGAGCTGAGCAACACCTGTTCCATCTGCACAGGAAGGAATAGGGGGGTCCGTGCACATTTCCTTGTCTAGACAGAAAGATTCTGGAAGGTTCCATGATGGAAATAGCCCATGTTTAATGGACTGTGACCATGGGGAGAATGCTCCCATGGATTATTTAATTTAATATGCATAGCACCCCTAGAGAGTAAGAATTATTTTTCTACCTGTTTATAGATAAAAAATGAGATGTAGAGAGATTAAGTACCACGTGGGTGAGCGGAGCTGGGCGCGGGCCAGGCAGGCGGGTCTGGCAGTCGCTGGCCTGCTCGCTTTGCCACGCTGTCCGCAGGGAGAGTGGGTATGAGAGAGTCACACCCGGCGGGTTGAGGATTAGCTGTCAGTAAATCATGCTGAAGTGGTAGGCTTCCTCGTGTTTGTGTCTGGGCGGCTCTGAGAGGAGACAATAGGCTCCTCCCCCCACCCCAGCAGGGAAAGAATGTTCCCTGTGGAGCAGCCGACACAGGCAGCGAGGGAGCTTCTGTTCCCTTCTCCGGGCAAAAAGCAAAGTACCAGCTCCCCACCCAGGGGCTCGGCCTTCTCTCATGAAGTCAGACAAAAAGCCTGCATCCAGCCGGCGTGGCTCAGTGGCTGAGCGGCAACCTATGGACCAGGAGGTCAGGGTTCGATTCCCGGTCAGGGCACATGCCTGGGTTGTGGGCTGGATCCCCAGTGTGGGGCGTGCAGAGGCAGCCAGTCAGTGGTTCTCTCTCATCACTGATGTTTCTGTTTCTCTCTCCCTCTCCCTTCCTCTCTGAAATCAATCAAAATATATTAAAAACAACAACAACAACAACCTGCATCCTTTAAAAGAAGTGGGGACAGATCAGAAATGGATTCTAGCCTCTGAGCTGGGAAACTTGACCAAGTGCGTTTCTCTCTCTCCCTCTCTCCGTCTGGTTTGAAGTGACGGCGTGTGGGCTTCCTCTGCTCTTGGACTCTCTCTTTTTTTTTTTTTTTTAAATATTTTTATTGATTTCAGAGAGAGAGAGAAAGAGAGAGAGAGAGAAAGAAACATCAATGATGAGAGAGAATCATTGATCAGCTGCCTCCTGCACACCCGCCCACGCTGGGGATCGAGCCGGCAACCCGAGCATGTGCCCTGACTGGGAATCGAACCATGACCTCCAGGTTCAGAGGTTGATGCTCAACCCCTGAGCCACACCCACTGGGCGGCTCACTGAACTCTTGAAGCCAGTGACTGGGCAGCAGGTTATGATTGCGAGGCCTTAGGATGGTAATGCAGCCGGGGGCGGGGCTGGCGCGATGCTGGTGAGAACAGATACCCCCAGGAGCCTGTGACTTGGACAAGAGACGGTTAAACCGAACGCCACGACAGGCCGATGAATTAGCAAGGGGCGAGGCTGTCTCAGACAAGGTCGGCGACTGGTCTGCGTGGAATGAGGGGGATGTGGAAGAATGGTCGGATTTCATCTTGCAGCAGCAACTGCTCTACCTTTTGTTTGTATTCAGCGTCTCTTTCAGTTGAGCCTCCTGAAAAGAATCCATTAATTTCAAAGAAAAGGTACCATAACAGCCTTGGGGGAGGGAGGAGAAAGATACAAGAAAAACCCACCAACCATGCGATTTTCCTAGCAAGGCTTCTGTCGATATTTACTCGGCTCATTGTCTAGTTTGGCTATAAACCGTGCCCCCCTGGGTGCGCTATTGACACGGTGGAAATGGCCCGGCCGCCTGCGGGCGCTGGGCAGAATCCCTGCCCCCAGACTCCCTCTGTGAATGCTTTTACTGAGCCAGTCCGTCATTTCCCACCAGGAAAGGTCAGCGTGCTCACCACCGGCATCACAGTCCATGTTGCCATGGAAACATCCGAAGGGCAGGTGGAGATCGAGCTGGCCCCGGAAGTGGAGATCCCCACCGCCTGGTCCAAGAGAGCCCCGTGGCCTCGGTGTCTGTCCCGCTGGCCCTCCTCCGACAGGGCGAAGTGCGTCAAGGTACCAGTGAGCGGGCCCCCAGCCCTCACAGCCGCCAACCGCGGCATCGCGGCCTGCCTGCCAGCTTCCCAAAGAAAACAGGTTTCCCCAGACCCGCGGTTCTCCAGTGGGGACCCCACGCCGGGGAGCGGCACCTGAGGACCTGTTAGATATGCAGGTTCCCGCGCCCCCTCTGATCTCCGGAACGAGGCTGGGTGGGCAGGCCCCGCCTTCCGGGTTTTAACAAGCCGCCAGGTGATTCTGGTGCAGGCTCCCGTCGGAGAACCCCTCCCAGAGGAAGCGAACGCAGCCTCTGCCATTAACTGCCCACGTGCGAGGGGCGGGCTCCGAGGCTCCCGCTGTGTCCACGAGGGTGTGCCGCCTGCCCCGGGGCTGGCCCCCAGACCAGTGGATGCTGCGGAGATGGCTTTCTCCTCCTTTCTCCTCCGGCCAGCGTCCTCCTTCTCACGTTCCCGCGTTCTCCTCTTCCTCCAGTCGTTTGGGTTCTCCCTGTTGGCCCGTTGGCATTATCACTGGCAGCTGAGCTTCCTGCAGGCCGAGCGGGCGCTGCTGGAGCACCTGGACGAGGACGGGGGCTGCCGCCGGCGGTGCTTCCAGGCCCTGCGGCAGATGAAGGAGGACGTCTGGTGTCCAGGGCGGAGGCCTGTGATCACGTCCCACCACCTGCAGGTGAGTGTGCGGCCGGGGCGACCGGGGTGGGTCCCCTCTGCGTCTGGTAGGGCCTGGCCTGGCCACACGGACTGGGCTGTGTGTGTGTGTGTGTGTGTGTGTGTGTGTGATGCATGTGATGCGTTCAGATGGGCGTCCAGTGTCCCACTTGCCATACCACAAAGGACCACTCATGGAGAGAGAGAGACCAGCTGTAAGTGTGCCCACAACTCCCCTGGCCAGGGTACCATTTCCTCCGCCTCGCCCTCCCTTTCCCCCTCCCCCTCCTTCCATTTTCTTTCTTTGTGCCTTTCCTTTTTTCCCTCTGTCTCTATCTCTCTCTCCTCCTTTTATTTCACTCAACAAACCACCACAAGTGCCCACTGTGCGCCAGAAACCCTGCTGAGCGTGAGGACTGAATTGCAACACGTGGCCTCTGCACACGAGAGGTCTTCCGTCTGGGGAAATCGTGCGAGCTGCTCAAACCTCCGATAAAGTCCCGTTTTCCTCATGTCCTGACTCAGTCCCCACTCAGACCAGGTGCAGCCACTCACGCACACACACGCTTTGTGCAGAGGAAACCAGGGAGTGATCAGATTAGACCAGGACCGGAACTTCCGGGTTCCAGCATCGGGCACGGTTTCCCGTCACTCTGCCAGCACCTGCCTCCCCTCCCCCCAAACCCAACATTGCACCTTCGTGCCCACCTTCACTCACTCACTCACTCACTCACTCAGCAAATGTGCGTTGAGATGACTACAAGCCAGACACCTGCCGCACCTGGAGGTACCTGGGGAACAAACACAGACATGCACTGCTCTCGGCTCCCCGGGCGAGCAGGGGAGACGGGCGTTGATCAGGCAGCTCTGCAGGTGGAATCACGTGATGCAGGGAGCACCAGGGAGAGGAAGAATGCTGCTCCGGGAACCAGGGCGCCCCTCCTGGAGAGTGGCCTTTGATTACCCTCTTCCGCTCCTCTTTCCCAAATTTCCGATCACTCACGGAGACCTGGACGCTCAGGTCGCACCGAGTGCAGCTCGCTCGGGCCGGGAGGTGTGCGACTCTGATGGGCAGCACAGCCCCAGCCCAGCTAGTCCCGCTGGGAGCTCAGGCTTCCCCCCGAGCCCTACCCGGGAGCACAGGTCTATGTGGTGTCTTCCTTGCACGCTCCTACCCGTGCCTCCTCTCCCTCAATGGACAACGATACCGTGTTGGTCTTATTCACTCCTGAGCCCCTGTCTCGCCCAGTGCTGTGCACCCAGTAGTTGCTTGGTAGATATTGGTTGGCAGAGTGCATGAGTGATTCCACATCTTGTTCGGCTTCCCCACACCCCCTCCCAAAACCACTGGCCTTTGCTCCGCCTTCTTATCTTTTCTGATGATCTGTCCTCCTCGGTCTGGCCGAGAGTCTCTTCATGTCTGGGACCTTTCTCTCGAGTGTCTGCATTCTTAACATGTTCTCAGGCACATGCCCCTGAAAGCACACACCTGTGCTGGGGGAGGGGCGCGCGCTGCCTGTGGCCTGACCTTCTCTCTTGCTTGTCTTTCTCCACTGGGAAGAGGTAGAGCTGAGACGCAAACTCGAGTCTGTCTCAGAGCAAAACCTCATCATCTTGACCCCAATGGCATTGCTCCACAATTAAGTTGGATAGAGACACTTTAAGTGGCATGAATAGTTAAGGCAAGATTGACGAGGGCGCTGTGACTGCTCTCAAAACTGCATCCCACCCACAGATCACTTTCATCCCAGCAGCCTCTAATCATCTAGAGCAGCGGTTCTCAACCTTCCTAATGCCACGACTCTTGAATACAGTTCCTCATGTTGTGGTGACCCCCAACCATAAAATTATTTTCGTTGCTACTTCATAACTGTAATGTTGCTACTGTTATGAATCGTAATGTAAATATCTGATATGCAGGATGTATTTTCATTGTTACAAATTGAACATAATTAAAGCATAGTGATTAATCACAAAAACAATCTGTAATTATATGTGTTTTCCGATGGTCTTAGGCGACCCCTGTGAAAGGGTCGTTCGACCCCCAGGTTGGCGACCCACAGGTTGAGAACCGCTGATCTAGAGTCTTAGGGCAACTCCTTCAAGGGTTTCCGCTTCGGTCCTCCCTTCCCACCCACAGAGCACAGCAACACTGCGCGCGCTCAGGAAGGGACGTTTAAAGGGGAGTCAGGTGTTGGAAGGGTGGGATGAGAGGAGCAGCTGCCTTTTCCCCCAGTCTGCCCCCTTGGTCAGCGGGCAATGCGATGGCCGCGGCTGGTGGCGGTGTGGGTTGTCCCCGAGGAGGGCTCGAGCGTGCAGGACCATTGCAGGGCGTCCGGCTGGGAAACGTGGAAGAGATTGTGCAAAAGAGCCCATCACGCTCACCTCACCGGAAGCCTGGCCCTCCCCCAAAGGGTCCTCCCCTCCGCCCCCAACAGGCTGTCCCCCAAAGCGTGAAGCAAGAGCTTACCTTTCACTGGCTTGTTTATTCCTAAAACCCACTCAGAGGCCCGGGGCCTCGAGTATCATGGGCTCACTCGCCTTGGTTTGCCTGGGGAGATGAAAGGTTAACGACAGGAGAGGAATGAGCCCCTGTCTTTCGTATCCAGGTTATCTTGACCAGCATGAAATGACCTCCAACTCGTTTGCGCCAAACAATTTAAGTCAAAATGTAGTCAGTATCTTGCCGTGACCGTAAAACTGTTCTTTTACTTTTTAGTCTAGACTGAATTTTTAAACATACCCAACATGCAAACCATCACATTAGTGAATTCACTATTTCCCTCAGTCAGCATTTCCTGCGTGCCTCCCGTGCGGGGTGACACAACAGTGACTAAAAGCAGGTATAGTCTTCTGTCTCAGGGAGGTCACCGCCCAGTAGGGACCCCATGGCACGTAGGAACATGAGGGCTACTGGGCTCATTGCTGCTTATGAGAAATAAGTGACAAAGAGGGCGTTTAATGGGTGTCAAAGGGCAATTTGTTGTGATGAATGAGTTTCCTGGGAAAAGGGAGGGCAGGTAGGTGTGCTCCAAGCTGAAGTAGAAAGTAGGGTGTGAAAGGCCCTGAGGGAGAAGAGAGCATGAAATGAGGCCAGTGTTGCCCAACGGTGTGGCTCAGAGGTTGAGCGTCCACCTAGGAACCAGGAAGTCAGGGTTCGATTCCCAGTGGGGAGTGTGCAGGAGGCAGCCAATCAATGATTCTCTCTCATCATCAATGTTTCTCTCTCTCTCCCTCTCCTCCCCTCTCTGAAATCAATACAAATATATTTTAAAAAAAGAACTGAGGGCAGTGTGGCTACAAGGAGAAGCTCTGGAGCATGCAGGGCCAGACGAGGCTGGAAAGGCAGGTTGGACCAAACCTTGTGAGACAGACTATGTAAAGGTTTATGTTTTTAGCTGAAGCAATGGGAAGACTTGGAGGTCCTCATATTTCAAAAAGGCCACGTTGGCTTCCGTGTGCCTGGCGACAGGTGGGAAGGCAGTTGCGCAGGTCTGGGCGCGATGTGCCGAAGAGGACGGCTGCACCGCAGACGAGATACGTGGGTGGATTTGAGACCTACGTCGGCAGCGGGATCGGCAGGACTTGCCTGGGGTTGGCGAGGGCGGGGGTGACCCCAGGTCAGTGACTTGCATGACTGGCTGGATGAGCAGCTCTGGAGGCAGACCAGGTAGGGGGGAAGGCCCTGAGCTCAGCTGGGACATGTTGAAAGATGACTTTCAGATTTTCAAGAAATACCAGATAAAGAAGTCAGTGGAGCAGTCTGGGCTGGAGAGAGAATTGGGAGTCACCTGTGTCTCGTGGAAATGAAAGCCACTGTGGTGGAAGGAAGATCGAGTAGGAGGGCCTGGAGCTGGGGAAAGCCATGCTTAGGGAGGAGAAGCCTGTCGAGGAGTAGCTGTGGTGCTGGGAGAAACCCGAGGGTGTGGTGGCCTGGAAGCCACGTGAGGAATAACCCCAGAGGAGGGTGTGGAGGAGAGGATCTGCCGGCTGGTCGGCTGGTCGGGTGAAGCGAGGGCTGGAAGGGGCCTGCGGGGTTCAGCCGTGTGCAGGTCACTGGGCCTGGAGGAGAGCAGCTTGTGGGGACTGATGGTGGGAGAGTCCAGCCAGAGGGACTGAGGCAGGGAATGGTGCAGAGGAAATGAAGACAAAGACAGGACGATTGGAGAAACCTGGATCTGCAGGGGAGAGTTAGGGCAGGAGGAGAGGTGGGATTGGCGGGAGCAGGAGATCCGTTTAAAAGCCAGCGAGGAAGCGGGAGATCCGTCACATACAGTTTCCGGAAGGAGAGGGATTCGGCCAGCTGGGAGGAGCAGAGGGTCAGCGAGGAGGATGCTGAAGTCTGGGCCCGAGGGTTTCCGCTTTCCCTGCAAGGCAGAGGCAGAGGGGCGGGGAGAGCTGTGATCACTGGACGTGTTAGTGGGGAGCGAAGGCCTGAACGGAGAGGCGTCGGAGACGGGCAAGGCTGGGAACCCGCTGAGGTTGGGGATCCGGAATTCGGGGCAGAACCAGCTGGCCCCAGGGTCACGTGAGCTCAGGGTCCCCGAGGATGCCCTCCTCATGGGCCCACGCGTCTGACCCCCTCCTCCCTCCGCAGACAGTGCTCTTCTGGACTTGCGAGAAGTATCCCCACGCCAAGGACTGGCGGGTCTTCAGCAAAGGGCTCCTGCGCCTGGCGAGGAAGCTGCACAAGTGCGTGCGCCAGCGCTTCCTGAAGCACTTCTTCGTGCGCAGCGGCAACCTCCTCCAGCACGCCGCCTCCACCGAGCTGGACGCCGTGGCCCAGAAGCTGGCCCTCTTCCTGAAGGACCCCGGGTCCTCCTGCAGGCTCCTGACCTTCCACTCCAGCTCCAGCTCTGTGGATGGGTGCAGGCAGGTGCCAGGTTCCTGCTCAGGAGAAAAGCACCGGGTGGCGAAGGGAGTCATGCCGACCAGTAGCACCTCAGAGGCCTGACCAGGCCTCCCTGGGCCACGCAAGCCCTGGCCCTCGCCATCGCTAGCTACCTCTCTCAGGGACAGCTCTCATCCAGCTGCCCCGAGCAAACTGATGACAGTTCTGAGTCTGTTTCCCTTGCTCAGCTGCGGATGGTCCAACGGGGAGGATGGAGACAGAGCCCCTGGAAGCCAGGCATCAGCCTGCTGCCCAGCCCTGGTCCCCCAGCCCGCCAGCCACGGGTTCATTGTTTCCATTTGGGAAATGGGACTGTGACTGTGCCTCGCTGAAGGCGGGGCCGAGAGCCCGCGGACTGTGCGGTGCCCTTCGAGGAGAAGGCATCGGATCAGCACTCCGTGCTGCTGTTGGTTTATGGCCGGCGTTCGCATCCCGGATGAGTACCTGACTGCTGATTAAATGATTGCGTCTGTTGCATTGGCCTGCGCGTGTTTCCCGCCAGCTCTCCTGTGGTTCCGTCTGTCTCGCTGGTGGTCACCCGGCAGAGAAAGAGAGGTTTCGATGACAGGTGTCAGTCAGAGGTTAAAGGGCAGGTCTGTCTGCCTCCTTGATCCCAGCCACTGGCCTCTCCTTGCGTCCCACGCCGTGGGTCAGGGATGGGACTGCCTTGTATTGATGAAGGAACCTGGTACGGTGATCTTCATGGAATGGCTCAGGTGCTACTCACCTCTCAGCACCTTCCTTTGCTCTCGTCATTCACTCCCTCATTCAATGATACATATATGCTCCTTAGGCGTGGGGAATGCGGCAAAAGAGCAAGATGGACCAGGCTCACCCGATGGGTGATGCCTAGTGGTGGAGACAGGACATGAACAGTGAGATCAATAAACAAGTTATAAATTAGAGCGAGTGCCCCGGAGGAAATAAACAGAAAACTGAAATAGAGCCACAGAGAGAGCCAGAAGGATAAAGATGCAGACACTGACGGGGAAGGAGAGGGAGCTGAGTGCAGGCGTGGAGGGGCCGCAGGGTCCGATCCGCTGGCCTTGGGACGCCGGTAAGGAATTTGTATTTTGTTGTAAAGTCGAAGGCGAGGCATTTGGCCTCTCCTGGCATCGTGATGCGATTTGCATTTTAAGTTCCTTTTCTAGCATCTGCATAGAGGGTGCGGGGCTCACCCTGGCGTCGGGCACGGAGGGCTCTCCAGCCCCACATTTTGAATCTCACTGAGATCCCGAGGCCACACACCCTGTGCAGCACGTTGGCCGGGAGTTCTAGTTCTTGGTGAGGCCAGTGGTTTCTCCTGGCATTTATGTGCTGCTTCTCAGGTCAAGGGAACCCTTTATCACTTAGAACATTTTCCCCAAATATATAACAGTGACATTCCTATAAGCATGAACTGCTGCCTTTTTAAAAAGGAAAGTCACATTTGAAAAGGAAAATAATTATTTTTACAAAAATACTGTAACCAAATGGTGGGGTCCCTGGGCCATCACATGGGAACCCATGGTTTCAGAATGATGGAGGGAGATCTTGCGAAGCATAAGTTAATAATTTTGACAACACGAACCGACGAGCAGACCAGTGTTTTTGCTAAATCATCCAGACTTGCATTCAAATTCTCCTATTCTTAGATCTTGGGAAACATTTTTGAGAAGGTAGCAGACAGATATAGCAAGTTTTTAAAATGTTAATGATGAAAACAGCTGAAGCAAGTTTCGAAACAGCTCTGCAGTCTCACAGAACGCAAAAGGTGTAAGTCGCCTGTACCACTGATTCAAGTGTGTGCGGGTGTTTGGAGAGGGTGGGCCTGGCACACTGCGCCGGCTGGCTGCTTCCGGTAGATTCTCCCCACCTTTCCCTGTGGATCTGGTTTCTGGAGGAAGGAGGGCTGTGGGCAGATTCTGGAGAGTTCCGACTGCTGGCCAGCAGAGGGCAGGCGGGGACCACACATGAAAGGAGCCGGGTTCCCACCCAGTGCCTTTTCAGCCAGCAGGTGTCACCCTCCTCGGCCCTGGTTCTCCAGAAAGGGAGCCAGGGATAGAGGATTCAGCTGATGCAGAATTGTTTACCTTTCCGGCCATTTTGGCTAAAATTCACAGTCCTTCTGCTTAAAGCTCAGATTTACAAAGGGAGCCTGTGCAAGTATAGTCCATCGTGGGGATTCTGGAATATTCTGCTCATAGTTCTGAAAAGTCTGATAATATGACTCCTTTATTCTGGTCAGCTTTTTGTTTTGTTTGTTTTGTTTTTAATTCTCCAAAAGGCCTTTTCTGTGCATCTCCGATCTGGGTGCAGGGCTGTTTCCTGGTGAAATGCTTGGTGTTCAGCCGCAGGAACTGACCTGCTCGATTCCGCATCCAGCTCTGACCCTGTAACTGCCTGTCCTGGGCAAGTCGTCCAGCCTCCTAAACCTGGATTTCTCTGTGGACTGTGTTACGGCTTGAATGGTGTCCCCCAGAATTCATATGTTGAAGCTCTGACCCCCAACACCCCAGAATGTCACTGTATTTGGAGACAGGCACTTTAAAGAGGTGATTGAGTAGAAGGGAGGCCTGGAGGGTGGCGCCCTAACCCGATAGGACTGGTGTCCCTAGAAGTTCAGGAAGAGAGATCCTGGGCAGGCGTGCAAAGACACCAGGCCATCTGCCAGCCCACGGGGAGAGGCCTCAGGGGCAACCATCCCTGCTGGCACCTTGACCCTGGCTTCCAGCCTCCAGAGCCGGGAGAAAATCGAGTATGTTGTTTAGCCACGCAGTCTATGTGCTCTGTTCTGGTGAAACTAACGCAGGCCTCGGGGGAGAAGCCACACCTCCTCACTGGTGAGGAGAACCCATGGAATAATGGTGCTTAGTCGAATCAATGCTTGGTATTGTAGACACCTGTCCCGCACGCTGTCCGTCATCACTGCCAGTCCTGGTACCTACCCCCGCCCCATGTATAAAACCCAGGGGTGGGCAAACTTTTTGACTCGAGGGCCACAATGGGTTCTTAAACTGGACCGGAGGGCCAGAACAAAAGCATGGATGGAGTGTTTGTGTGAACTAATATAAATTCAAAGTAAACATCATTGCATAAAAGGGTACGGTCTTTTTTTTTTTTTAGTTTTATTCATTTCAAACGGGCCGGATCCGGCCTGCGGGCCGTAGTTTGCCCATGGCTGATAAAACCGCCACCAGGAAAGCAGGCACAGCATTCCAGTACGAACCCCGTGCGCCCATCTCTTCCCCTGTCCCTCTTGCTGACGTGGGGAGGCATCCCTCCTCGTGCAGAGTTCTCCGCCTGCGCTGGACCAACACCGGCGAGCTTCGCAGGGCCACCTCCCTTTATTTCCTGGCATCGCCCGTCCTCCTGCAGCCCCTGCCCCTCTCTTCTCTCCGCGATCCAGTTTCCCGAGTTACTGTACGTGTCTCCACTTCCTCCGCTCTTCATACTTTTGTTTACTGAGAGAGTCTGAGCTGTTTAAAGAATCACAGGGACACCATGCTCACTGTCTGGGTGGGAAAAATGGCCCATTACCAGCCAGAACTTTAGAATTCTCCCAGGTGCGCCTCCTTCCCTAGCCCCCTCCCTCCCTGACATAGGTGAGCCTGGTCCCCTATTTGATGTACGACTCTGGCTTCCATTTTTTGCTGCCTGCTAGTCAATCATGAGACTGTTGTTTCTTTGTAGGGTGTCTGCTTTTCTCTCTGACTGCTTTTAATTCTCTTCCGCCTCCTCCTTCTCTCTCTCTCTCTCTCTCTCTCTCTCTCTCTCTCTCTCTCTCTTCTTGTAGGCTTCCTTTGTTGCTCTGACACATGGACAGAGTCCCCTGGCATCCGTTTGGGACCAGCTCTGCCACTCACAGATTTGTGATCTTGCGCATGACTCTTCGTTTCTCAAAAGGCTTTCCCTCGTCTGAAGATCAGTCCACATTGCAAATGTTGGTTGCCTTGTCTAGAGTCAGACAGCCCTGGGTTGGAACTCGGCTCTGCCACGTCCTAGCCCATAGCCTTGGCTATTACTCAACTTGGCGAGACCTCAAGTTCTTTGTCTGCAGACTGGGTAGAGATTATGCCTTTTATCCCCGGCATCCCCAGTAATCACCACCCTACATGGATGAGCAGATGAAGCTTCCAGCGGGGACGGTGCGGGCTTCTCACCAAGGCCAACGGTTGTGGTTTAAGCATTTGCTGGAACAAATAGGCCTGATAGCTTTAGAGCTTCAGGCATCTCAACACGGTATCTGGTATCCCAGACACTCCCTTGTCTCCGTGGACCACTCAGAACCTGGGGCCTCTTTCAGTTGTTCGGGTCATGTAGCCGTCTGCTCACAATCCTCCAACCATTGCCCATCCCGCTCATGCTAAAGCCAGAGCCCTAAATGACCCCCAGCCCCACCTCTGAACCAGTATCCTGTCCCTCACACTCATCCTCACCCATACTGCTTCCTCGCTCTTCCTAGAACAAGCCAGGCATGACTCGGGACTTCTGTGCTTATGGCTCCCTGTGTCTGGAGGCCTTCCCTAATGGCTTGATGTAAAATAGTACATTTTATATACCTCAACCTGGTCTTGACATGGGCTACACTCTTTTCTGCTCGATTTCTCTCCATAGCACCCTCTGGACAGTATCTAGCTGTCTGTCTGTCTGTCTTGCACCCACCAGAGTGAACGCTCTCTGAAGAAGAGACTGTGTCTGTATTTTCAGGGTTGTATATTTACAACCCCGGGCACATTGTAAGTGTCCAGTACATCGGACCGTGAATGAAAATGTTTGCCAAACTCCTTCAAAAACGATCCATTCAGGTCTCAAGCTCCTTGGACTTTTCCATGTGTTTGGTTTGTTTCTTCCCTTAAAAGCAGCAGAATCGCGGAATTTCTAGCTTGCAGAGGAGGTGGAGGTCTTTGCCTGTAGCTTAGAGGAGAGTGGGTCCCGGCAGGGTGAGTGACTGGCCTCAAAGCCCAGGCTCCGAGGTGGTTTGCAAGGGAAACGCTGATGTTTTTCCTTTCAGAAGCCCTTGACCTTCTACAGTGCAAGCCTGAGACCTGGAGGAAATGCAATCTCACAATCTACCTCGAACTTTGGCTCTTCTTCCTCATCTGTGCCCTGAGCTGGGACTTTCGCCCCTCGCCCTCCACCCTGCTTCCTCTTTCCTGGTTGTCAGGACGGCGGCGTGGGCGGGACCCCTTGTGGGAGGTGGGGACTTGCTGTTCTCTCCCCATTTCTTTCTCTCTCTCTCCTGAAAAGAAAACTTAAAAGAGTCCCGTCACTTATTTTCTCTGAATTCGAACTATATTGGAAGACATGGAACGTGGGAAAATAACCCTCATCACCACCAAGAGGTTCTGCTGACCAAGTGGGCAGCCCACACTTCACAGACGAGAAGGCAGAGGCCAAAAGAGAGGAGAAAAAGTAATTTGCTCAAATGTATCCTGTCCCAAACAGAGCTCCTTTTAAAATATATATTTATTAACTGATTTCAGAGAGGAAGGAAG